ATCCCTCCCAGCCTCTTTTTGATGCCTTGGCGGTTGGAGTTTCCTCTGGCAGTCTCTATTTCGCCGGATAACCCATTTAACGAGATTTAGGTTATGTCGAATTTTCCTTGGGTGTTTGACGAGTTGTAAGCTCTTAAACCACTGTCAAACTTGTACTAATCTTCTTATAGACTTCATAAGTCATTCAGATGTATTAATTGTCACACCCCCGAACCGGGACGGCGGAAACGTCCGGGGGCGGGTGACTTCATCTTGTAATATCATAACAGTTGATTATAAATGAGACATAGCAACCAAACATCATACATTCAGATACCAATATGCATTGTTTACAATTTTGTGTTTGTTCATGAAATTACATCCAAAATAACACAATGTATGATATTTCAAAAATACAACAATTATCCAAAATCCATAGCTGCAAAACCTGATTACTGAGTCCCTGAGAATACAAGTCGTTTTGAAAAGCGTCAACATAGAATGTTGGTGAGTTCGTAAGCATATTTATAAGAAAACTTTGTAATAGTTTGTAAACTTCCAGAAAATCCAATATTTTCTGTATATAAAAGAGTTGTGAGTCTCGTTTTAAATCATGTATAATTGCATGCACGTTCTTTTGTTCCTTGTTTGAAATTGTATAGAGAGTGTTCTCAGAAAATCCTATATTTTCTTTTATACGAAAAGTTGTGGTCTTAAAACCCTAAGACCAGAGTGGTGAAATTTGTTTACGAAATAGACAAAACATAGTTGTGTATTTTATAAAACTAGTAGAGTGCATATTCTTTGTAAATTCAAATAATGTTGTTATCCTCTATGTGAGTCGCTATAACCATACTAATATGACTAACGCGCCTGTCTTGACGTTCTTCAGGCGTCGGTTTCTAAAGATACTTGTCACCCTAGACTGGCCTGTCTAGCTGTAGCGAACAGCTCAGGTGTGGGGGTGTCAACCCCGTATAGATCTATACACAATTACCTCGCTCTCCCTCCAGGAGACTCTGCAGGACTTACGATGTACGCTAGGTAGGTACAGTGAATGAGTGTCTCACAAGAGCCTCAACAAAATTTACGCGAACTTATAGAATAATGTATACGATGTTCTTAAGGTAAGTTTTATAATTGCGGTTTATGACATGCAATAATTCCTGTCATAAGTTTACACAGTTTACTAGGAGTGTTTAAAAGCTATTATGGACAGACAACTTATGACACACAAGTTTTTGTGGAAAAGTGAGTTTGTCCCATTTTTACGACTTTTGTCATAATTACTCCATTTTTACCGCAATTGTAAAAAATAGCACACTTTTACCATAATTGTCGAAAATAGCACATTTTTACCATAATTGTCAAAAATAGCCCATTTTTACCATAATTGTCAAAAATAGCCCATTTTTACCATAGTTGTCAAAAATAGCCCATTTTTACCATAGTTGTCAAAAATAGCCCATTTTTACCATAATTGTCAAAAGTGACCCATTTTACCAAAAATTTATCGTAAATAACCCATGTTTACAAATGTTGTGGTAAAATTTTATATATTCACAAATTTACCATTATAAGTGTAAATTTCCATATTTTTCCATGTTTCAAGCTTTCATGACCAAAAATTTGTTTTAACATTTTCCTTGATATTATAGTGATTTTTATCACACATTAAAGAAAACATTTTTAACATAACAACTAACATGTGCTACACAAGATAACTTGTTTCCAACAACTTGAGACTTGTACAAATCTCGAGTTCATGGACTTTTATCATGAGATTATAATATTTCAACACACATAAACATATAAAGCATACACATGCAAGCAAGTATACAAAGATTCTACACAATACTAGACTCGTATCCTCCCCCAAAAGAAGAAAAAACTCGAAAATAAGGGGTATGAAGCTCACCTTAGGGCTTTTTCGAAGGGTAGACGAAAGACGATGAAGGATTTTCGAATCCTAGCTCCTGCCTTGAAGAGATTTCGAAATGATGGTTGTTATAAGATCCATATTCATGAAAACAAGAGAGTAAGGGGAAAGATCTTACATAAACTTGATACAAAACAAGGGAGTTCAACTTATCACTTACCAAGCTTATGATCTTTGAAGAGAACTTCTTGAAGCACACTACACACTCACGAATTCTTGGAGAAAAGAGTGAGAGAACACTTGAAGGTTAGAGAGGAAATGAGACGTGAGAGTGAATTTTGAAATGAAAATGGTTAGAAGGGATGAGGTTTCGACCGATTAAGAGGCGAGGGGAGAGAAAGGATTGCATGGAAACATGTTGGACAATTCTTCCTTCCTAGATGCATGGAATATAATAGCTTTGATATTTGTTGTGCATAAATGAGGTGTCACTTGTATAATCCTCATATTATCTTTTTTTTAATAAACCGATCGGATTATGGAGAGGGGAGAAAAAGAAGGTTTCAGTTTTTGAAGGACAACCGAGAACACCCTAGGCCCATTAGTGTTTTCGGTTTGTACGAGTTTTTGGGGCTTAGCTCGGGCCCAAGAAAGGTTTCGGTCCAATAATAGGCCCAAAAGGTGTGAAATTTGCCCAATAAGGTTTTCGGTTTAATGAGAGAGCCCAATAGAGATTTTTGACCCATTAAGGCCCATACATGGGTTTCCGGCCCAATGAAACTAAGTGGAAGAGCTTTCGGCCCAATAGGGGGCCCAATAGTGGTTTTCGGCCTTACAAGGCCAATTAGAGGGTTTTTCGGCCCATTATGGTCTAAGAATAAATTTCACTGCCCAATAAAGGGTCTTACGGCCCAAAATGATGTTAAATAAAAGTTTTTGGCCCATTAGGGCCCAATAGAGAGTTTTCGGCCCAAAAGGACCAGTTTGAGAGGTTATCGGCCCATTAGGGCCCAATAAGAGAGTCTTGGCCCAAATAGGGGTTTGGGCCGAGAAAGCTTGGGCTAGGCCCAAAGTTGAGTGGACTTAGCTTATTGGGTTAGGTTTTGGGGCTACACGAGGTGGTTTCGATTTGAATCACAATTCTTGGATGTATAAACTTAAATAGCATTGAAGTTTGATTTATACTATACGTAGGGTTACAAGGTTTCATAAAGAAATTATCTTGTACGAGATAGAAATCTTAACCCTAATTTGCTAGTTGTGACATTAACTCTTGAAAATAACCCACCAAAAACACCAACACATCTCAAGAACCGAGCATATGGCAGGATATTCTATTTTGGTCGTTTTCTTTGGAGTTGTATGGGTTGTTGGCTCTTATATCTCATGCTAAGGGTGTATTTTAGTCCCTTTAGCATGTGATGTCAAGTATAGGCAACAAGAAGCAAGTTTATAGCTTTAAAGGGCATTAAATCTTCTTATACACTTTAATTTTGGGTTTTTATTTCAAAAAATGTTTTCTGCTGAGTACAATAGGTTCCACCCATGGTTAGGTCATTTTCTAAGTACCTTTGATACCTAGAAATAAGATCGTACTTCTAAATAAAGAACAATCACATCGAAATGCACATGGAGTTCCATTTTTGCGTTTTTATAAATGTTCTTAAGTATTGAACGAATCCCAATAGATTTCGAACTCTTAGATCTATTTTAGACCTTTCTTAAGGTCACTGGGACCTATATTTTGACTTCCCTAACTCATTTGGTTTCCTATTGGTGCTTTGAACCAAGAAACGACTCCTTTATTTGAGTTTTGTCTCGAAACTCACAAATCGAAGAAATTCATTTCGGGAAGGTTTTTGTCTCATGAAACTTGATTTTGGTTGAGTCTTAATATTAAAAACATAACCCACATCATGTATTACAAGTTGGTTTGGGTTTGGGTCTTGGAGAGGGGCAAAATGGTCTTTTGATCCTTGATTAGCTTTTAAATAGGCTTAGACTCGATAAAGAAGTATAAAGATAGGTTTTACTTTAATTTTAAATTAGGGTTACTTATTGTGTAGTTTTGGGGAAGACTTGATACCTCCAACTTGAGCGTCTAGATTGTATATGTCTTCTAGTGAGGCGAGTTCTCATGAATTACTTATTATGTTGACTATGTGATGTTATGTTACTGAAGGTCCCAATGTGGGTAGGTGGTGTAATGGTGAAGAGAACTAAAGGTCCCAACGTGGGTAGGTGGTCGACCACTGAAGGTCCCAATATTGGTAGATAGTCTATGCAGGACAACTAGAGAATAGTCTCTCGGAGGGAAGTTATAGTTGTGACCCGTCAACATAATGCTAACATACGTTATGTGTTTAGTTATATATGATAGAGTGTAAGTAATATGTGATTTATCACCTGATGTTTATGTGTATTATGTGCATTGCACATGATCTGTATAATGGACGAGTGTTGTGATTACTCACTAAGCCTTAGGCTTACAATTGCTACTTTATGTCTTTAGTTGCAGTTCAGGTTCGAAGGGCAAGGGGTTGGCATGATTATGATATATGGGCATTCTCGGATGGGCATGACATCTAGTTCATCTACTCTATGTTGCGATATGGGTTTCAAAACAAGACTTAGCTTCCGTATTTTACTATGATTATGTTGATGTAACGCGGAAGATAACTTTATGATTTATTAATGGTTATGAATAAAACCTTTTGATAAAACATACACTTTGATTTTCAAAAATTTTAGGGTTGACGTTTGGGATGTTACAATATACCTGATGACCGCCATAGTGAAAGAGGAAAAAATGTTATTCATGGGGAAGACTGGGGCTGATAGATTTTTGGGAGTTTTCTTTAAGACTCTACGTAAATGGTCCATACATTATTTAAAAATGTCAATATAATAGCGATAGCAAAAAGAATGGTATAACAATCTTTTTACACATTTAATAGATCATCTTAGATGGTAACAACTTCACGAACCACAATACAAATTTTAGAAACCCTATCGACGACCCATTTCAAAAATTGAAAAACTGAACTAAAAGTGCAGATTGGTGTAAACTTCAGGGACTAAAACTATAATTTACTATTATTATAATTATTTTGAAATATTTGGGTTGGGGTAGAAATTCCGTGAAAAAGGGCGCTTTCGATTTCGAGTCTCTTGGAAACCGACGAATCCTAGACAACTCCAACGCCATTTCCGTACTCACACCTTTAACACCACTATCCTCCATCTCCCTTCGGAGCTGCAATGAAACGAGGGTTCGAGTCAATCGAAATATCAGACGACGAATGGTCAAACCACGATTTCGATTCTTCCCGAATTCTCAATAAACCCTCCTCCAGAACCCCACCACCACCAATCGAGTCTTTCGCTTTCAGAGGCGGAAGCGGACAAGCCGGAACGCCGTCTAATTCTAAACCATCCTTTGACTACTTCTCGGACTCCTCTGACTGTGTTGAAGTTATCAAGGATGGAGCTCAACATGCACCTGAGAATTTGGAGGATGATGATTTCGGAGAGGCTCCATCGACGACGATTGAAAACCGTGGGCGGAGGTTTGTGATTGATGATGAGGACGATGAGGCGGTGGAAGATGATGCAGTTGATTTGGGCGAAGGAGAGGATGGAGATAGTGAAGATTTGGGGTTTGGTGAGGAGGTGGACGGGGGCGATGATATCGTCGGAAAAGCATTGCACAAGTGTGCGAAGCTATCTACTGAGCTACGGAGAGAGTTGTATGGCTCCTCTTCCACCGATGCTTGTGATCGTTATGCTGAAGTTGAAAGTTCTTCCGTTAGAATCGTCACTAATGTGAGTTCGTATCTACATCTTCAGTCACCGCTGAGTTTAATTTCTATCTATTTGCACTAACAACGGTGGAAGTAAGAGAATACAATGAATGAATAGATTTTTGATCGAAATTGCATGTTCATGCACTCACCAAATAGAAAACTTTGCCTAAAAGAGTTCAGCGACTTACGTTTTGCTTTCATTTCTACAGGATGATATATGTGAAGCATGTGGAATTGATGATTCAGGTTTTCAGCCTGTTCTCAAACCATACCAGCTTGTTGGTGTCAATTTTCTTATGCTTTTGTATAGGAAAAAGGTTGCAGGAGGTATGTATTCAATCTATTCATATGCTTTTGGCCTGAATTATATAAACATTTATGAATATGGTTGACAGACCAAAATCTTCAAAGCTATACACATATGTTACCAATGACTTTACATCATCTCTTGAGAAGTAGTTTAGTCTGAATCCCTGAGCTATAAAATCAATAGTTAGCATTCTTTTATAAGACCACATGTTATCTTTCTTTATATCATTTACACCCTAATGCTTGAAGCTGGTTATGTTAGCTTAAAGTATAATCAGATTTTATTAAGATAAATATGGTACTCAGAAGCTCATAAAGATAAAATTAGTAACTAAGTAAGACCTATACCACTCCATTGTCCTAATTTTAAGCCTCCACTTTCTTCTATCTGACATCTTGTCCTCCAAAAGTGCCAACTTCTAAATCTGCCTTAACTTTCATTTTGCACCAAACCTGTTTCATATTTGGAAACTCAAAAACAAATGATGATGATAGTTTATATGAGACTTACAGAAAGTGTACTTGAGGTCAGAATGGTGATTCTAAAATTTGTGCTCATGTTGTCTCTTCAGTTTCTTCTCCAATGCTTTGTGTGTTTTTGTATTCAACAAACAATTATTATATGTTTTTATGTCTCAAAATTTTGTGTACACATTCTTTTCCAGAGCTGTCCTTTTCAGCTTACAAGTGTCTATTGGTTATCATGGCATTTTATAGCTTATCATTGCAATGTGTCTTGATGTCTTATCTATAAACATTTAACTAATTTTATATTACTTTCAAGTTTCAACCCCATTTGATTTTATTGTGCAGCAATATTGGCAGATGAGATGGGTCTTGGTAAGACTATTCAGGTATGTCTATTTAAAGATTCTTTCATTTTTGCTAGAAATTGAAATAATCATCTCTACATCTATCATCTTTTTAATTTTTTTTTTAAAATCTTTAATCAGGCAATAACATACCTTATGTTACTAAACCACTTGGAAGATGATCCGGGTCCTCATTTAATTGTTTGCCCTGCTTCTGTTTTGGAAAACTGGGAAAGAGAGTTGAAGAAATGGTGTCCATCATTTTCAGTGCTTCAATACCATGGAGCTGCAAGAACAACTCATTCTAAACAGTTGAATTCTTTAGCCAAAAGTGGATTGCCACCCCCCTTCAATGTGATTCTTGTATGCTATTCCCTCTTTGAAAGACACAGGTTAGTAACTCATTTCTTTATCCCTGTTTTTTTTACAACAACATTACCCAAAATCCCATATTGAATTGGGTATATTTATACAGTTATACCTCCATCCATGAATAGAAAGACTACTTCCATAAGACAAAGCAAGTATACTAACTATAAAACATAAATCAAGGGTATACATGTGATAAAGCATAAAGCTTGGAATAACAATAAGGCTGAAAGAGATAATGTGTAAATGGGGAATAAATTAGAGAAAAGAAGGTGAAAATAAAGAGGGAGTACAAAATTAAGAAGTAAATAGCATAGGAAAAGCACAAATATGATGAAAGTCGTTATGGTTTAGACAATTTTTTATGCTACTACTGTTGATCTATGTAGTATTTGAGGCTTTTGTTGTAGTTTTTAAGATTCTTTCTACAGTGCTCAACAGAAAGATGATCGAAAGCTCTTGAAAAGGTGGAAATGGAGTTGTGTTTTGATGGATGAGGCTCATGCTTTAAAGGATAAGAACAGTTACAGATGGAAAAACTTGATGTCAGTTGCAAAAAATGCAAATCAGAGGTTAATGCTTACAGGGACACCTTTACAAAATGATTTACATGTATGCATCTTTTAAACTCTTTTTGTTTTTCAATTTTTCATGAGTTAATGTAGAAAGAACTACTTAATTGATCTTATGCTCTGTTACCATTGTGATGCATTTAGTCAATTTCTTTTGATGTGCAAAATGAAAAAAGTGAGGCTTTCCATTAAGTTGTAACTATTTACAAATTTGCCCTCATTTGTTTTTCAGGAACTATGGTCAATGTTGGAGTTTATGATGCCTGATTTATTTGAAACAGAAGATATTGATTTGAAAAAGATGCTAAATGCAGAAGATACAGAATTAATTTCTCGAATGAAATCGATTTTGGGACCATTTATTTTAAGGCGCTTAAAATCAGATGTAATGCAACAATTAGTTGCAAAGGTTCAACGGGTATGTACTTTTATTAAATCTTTTTTTTTCTTTTGTGCATAATACAAAAAAGCACTTGTAAAACACTAAAACCTGTACTTTTATTTATAGATATAGTCACATAGTTATTTTCTGCAGTGATTAAAACCATTATACTTCTAATTTAGCTACTAATCATAAAAAAATTATAGTTTAGTGGCTAAATTAATAATATGGTGAAAGTACATTGTGCTTTTCTATACATGAACCTTTTTCAAAAGTGGGTAAATGAGAAAAATGTTTTTTTGCAATAAAAAAAGTATAATAGTTTAATCACCACAGAAAATAGTTAATTGGCTAATTCGATAATTTTGACCCTTTCAAACCATTTTATTGATTTGGCCATTAAACTATCTATTTTTTTTTTATCGATTTAACCACCAAACTATTTAATATTTAAGAGTAAATTACACGAATGGTCCCTATGGTAACGGTTTAGGGTAATTTGCGTGTTTGGTCCCTAACTTATTTTTTTAACTCGGAAGGTCCCTACTGTTTGTTTTTGTTACGCGCTTGGTCCCTGTCTTACCTAAAAAGACTATTTTGCCCTTGATTTTTTAATTTATTAAAATAAACACACCTCCAACCCCACCCCTCACCTTACCTTACCTACCCCACCATTTTCCCTATTTAAATAATAGTCTTTTTAGGTAAGACAAGGATCAAGCGCAAAAGCAAACAGTAGGGACCTTCCGAGTTAAAAAAATAAGTTAGGGACCAAGCGCGCAAATTATCCCAAACCATAGGGACCATTCGTGTAATTTACTCAATATTTATTCATAATGAAAATAGTTCACTTTTGTTGTTAACCAATAATACTTTATCTTTTCATTAAAACCACAAAAGTTTCATACATCTTCTCATATTGACCATTTTGACCTGTTATCACTGGGAAAAATAATGAATTGGCATATTTGCACATTTTTTTCTTCAAAATTTGTCCATTTTTTGGTGCTTTGAGATTTTTATATGCTGATAAATGTTTTGTGTAGGTTGAATATGTGCACATGGAAATAGAACAAAAAACTGCATATCAAGAAGCCATTGAAGAGTATCGTGCAGTTGCACATGCACGAATGACCAAATCTGGAGAAGTTAAAACTCCTAATCTTCCTAAACGCCAGATTTCAAACTATTTTGTTCAATTCAGAAAGGTATTATAGTAATTATTATTCCATTTAATTATGAAAACAATACATAAATCAAACACATGTTTTTAATTTTTTTTACTATCAGATTGCAAATCATCCTTTATTGGTGAGGCGAATTTACACAGATAAAGATGTCATTAGATTTGCCAAAATGTTGCATCCCAGAGGTGTATTTGGTGCTGAGTGTACTTTGGATAGAGTAATTGAGGAGCTTAAGGGTTACAATGACTTTTCAATTCATAAGGTAATTAATTTCTCCATATATTTTTTTTGAACTTTTGATTCATGACTTTTTTTTTTCTCATAAAAAAGGGTTGTCTGAAAAATGATGTTTAAAAAACATAAGATAACTAAATTGTTGTTTATTAATAGTTTAGTTTTTAGTTTTTACCTATAGTTGCTATGCACTTAAATTTCTTTACATATAATAACAACATATTTATAATTTCATATCTGTAATAGCAATATACTTACATTCTATTAATAAGGGTTAAACTAAAAAAAAAATTATATTTTGTGTTTTTTCCGGATTAAACCTTTTTTCATTTTTTCCAATTTGGCCCTTTTAATCATTTTTTGCCAAAAAAAATTGTGAAATGCGAGGGTTTTTTCGAGAAAAACTAAAAAAGTTGAGGGTTTATTTGGAAGCATTAAGAAGGTTGAAGGTTTTTTTTTTTGAAAAAAAATACAAAGTTGAGTTTTTTTTTTCTTCGGAAAAAATAAAAAAAAATACAAGGTCTTTTTCAGGCAAAAAATAAATTTGAGGTTTAATCCGGAAAAAACACAAAATATTAAGTTTTTTTTTTTTTTTTTTTTTTTTTTTTTTCAAAATATAAGTATTCTGTATAAAAAATAAGTAGATTGCTATTACCAATAAGTAAACACAAGTGCATATCAATTACATGTAAAATGATATAATTATATTAGTGTTATTAATTTCTGTTTCATTTTTTTTTTGTTGTTGCAGCTTTTACTTTATTATTCTGATGGGACTTCGAAAAGTCTTTCAGATGACCATGTTATGATTTCTGCAAAGTGCCGGGTAAATGATGAGATGAGATGAGATATTTGTGTGCAAATTTACATTTTTGTCCCTGGAATCACAAAAATTTACTTTAATTTATTGCAATGAATTGATGCAGGCATTGGCTGGACTTCTACCTACACTTATGGATGGTGGGCATCGGGTTCTTATATTTAGTCAATGGACTTCAATGCTTGATATCTTGGAGTGGGCCCTAGATGTAATTGGAGTTACATATAGACGCCTTGATGGGAGGTATAATTATAATCTAATAACATTAAATCTTTAAAAATAATTTCTATTTTTAAATTTTCTTTTTTGGCCCTCTTTAGCAGGTTTACTGGTAATTTTCTGGTTTTACATAAAGATGTAAGGGATATTTTAGGAAAATAGTGAAGTTGAGGTTTAGTATGAAAAAATGGAAAAATGTAAGTGCCAAATAAAAAAAAATGTTAATATCATAGAAAACCTTAAGTATTTAGTTTTTTTTTTTTCTTTTCAGATTAAACCTTATTTTTATTTTTTTCTTGAAAAAGTCCTTTTGCAGTTTTTCATTTTTTCGGAAAAATTTCTCACCTTTTTATTATTAAATTTCCGGAAAAAGCCTCAACATTTTAAGTTTTTTATGAAAAACCTTAAATATTATTTTTCCCAAAAAGTCCTCACTTTTTATAAAGTTTTTTCAGAAGAAAACTACTAAAAGGGCCAAATTGACGAAAATAGAAAAAGACAGGTGAAAAAAGTAAAGTTGACGTTTAATCCGAGAAAAACACAAAATATAAGGTTTTTGATGATATTAAACCGAAAAAAATGAAAAAATGTAAGGGATTTTCTAGGAAGAAATAAAGTTAAGGTTTTTGATGATATTAAACCAAAAGACATAAATGCCCTCCTCATTCACATCATCAAAAATAGTTTCGAAAGCTTGTCTAGTCTAATCGTGTTTTGTCCCATGTTCAATTGCTTTTGTCCCATATACATTCTTATTGTATATTGTAAATTAATTAATTCTTTTCAATTTCTGAATTTATGTTTATTATTATTATTATTTTTTTATGATAGTACTCAGGTGACCGAAAGGCAAACAATCGTGGACACATTCAACAACGACACTTCAATATTTGCATGCTTGTTATCAACCCGGGCAGGCGGGCAGGGGCTGAACCTGACCGGGGCCGATACTGTCATTATACACGACATGGACTTCAACCCCCAAATTGACCGTCAAGCCGAAGACCGTTGTCACCGCATCGGTCAAACCAAACCCGTTACTATTTACAGGTCCACCCCTCTCTCTCTCTCTCTCTCAGTATTATTGTAAAGGGTAAAATCGTCATTTAGCCTTTCTCTAATTAAGACGGTTTATTTATTGGTATGATGCCAGGTTGGTAACAAAGGATACAGTGGATGAGAATGTGTATGAAATTGCAAAAAGGAAATTAGTACTTGATGCTGCAGTGCTTGAGTCCAATATCGAAGTGGAAAAAGAAGGTGAATCCTCTGATAAAACCATGGGAGAAATTTTGTCAGCTTTGTTGTTGGGATGAAAAACAAAATCTTGATTTTTCTATTTCTGATAATACAACAACAAACGAGGCCCCACCCAGATCTTGAAGATATTTCATGACTTTACGTTTAATCTGATAATTCTTGAAGAGTTAGTATTTTGTAAGTTATCCATGAATTTAATCAATTTATGCATCATTTATATGGGTCGAAGCTTAAAGGTAGGAGTTTATAACTATTTGTAATCTGATCTACAAATCTATGAATGAAAGGATTTACATTATGTTTTAAGTGGGTAAAACAGAAATTATATTATTATGTAACACCCATTCACCATCAAACCATACTCCACAAAGTCCCAATTGGCCTTTGGGCTTTTTCGGCAACGAAGCCCAAATTTGTCGAACTTTTTAATAACATTAGCCCGAGCCTCCAAATCATTTGGAGTAGCTATGTAAAGAAGCAATCCTGCCATCCACCTTTTTAATAGCATTATCGAACAATTAACTGGAATGCTAGAGGTTTTTAAACAGACTACTTATTCATGTGAAATAAAGTTTATGAAAATTCAGATTAAAAGAATGAATTTAGTTCCACAGTGACTCATAATCCTGCATATAATCAATCAATCGTAAGCTTTGATTGTTCAAATTGTGTTATGTCTACACTCGTATTAAAAATCATTAACAAGGTCTAATAATTTTTTTTTACCAAAAGTTCTTAATCACATAAGTTCTTAATTGAGTTAGAACTTAAAATTCCAAGTAAAGTTATATCAGTTTATATTACAGATTATATTAGAATCAAACCCTGTACTAGAGCCAATCCAATATTTGTTACCGGTAAAGAGCCAATCCAATATTTGTTACTTATTACCGGTAGATTAAAACAAGTAAGGATTTTAATTACTGATTAGCTAGAATGATCAAAGCATAATTCACGTGGCCAATAAGAACCAAATAAAAATCAAACATTTTATTAAGAACAAAACTGATAAAACTATACATAATCATAATAAAAAATAAAGCATAATGATTACAATACAACAATATTAGTCGGGTGCCATGGAAGGTGCTAATGTGGTGAATGGATTGGAAAATATGATGTCTTGTAGCTCATTGAAGGTAAATATATAATATTCATCTACCTTTACCTTGACCACATTTGAGATGATATCGTTAGCACCCTAACATGCTTACTGTATAGGTTTTGTCATATCTCATCCTTCATAACCATGTTCATACCCCATTTAGACAATTTTTTGTTGAATGTTGGCTTACTCTAAGCCGAATAGAGACTGCCTCCACATCCAACCATACTAGTCTCTATTTAATAACAATATTACGGGGTGCAAAGCCTTTATCTCCAAGAACAAATTCTTAACACCCTCGTTAGATTTAAAGTTTTTACATGACTTTGCAGTAGGGATATCAAATAAACCCACAAACCACCCTCATATATATATATATATATATATATATATATATATATATATATATATATATATATATATATATATAATATATATATAATATATATATATGAAGCCCTCATTTTTCCACAACCTTATTGCATTTCATTAGTTTTGACAACAAAATTCCATATAGTAATATCATAACTTCATCTTCCTTTTCTATCTTCATAGGAACTGGGTCTGTTTATGTTTATATATACATGTACCATTTCCTTGTTTTATGATCAACAACATATATACCAATCCTACCTCACACCAAATTATCAATGAATGAAACCCTAAAAAATTTGACGAACCCAAAAATCTTTCCTAGTCTGGATTTTTTTATTTTAGATCAACATATGGACGACTTTGCCATGTTTTTCACAAAGCCTTCACAGATCACTAGAGCTTATATGATCGAGGAAATTTGTAATATAGATAGCATGAGAAACACTGCCTACCTTGTCGACGTCCTTATGATGTTGTTGATCCCTTATTTTATCATCATAGCTAGGTAGCCATGTTGATCTTGAGACCGGTTAGACACACTCACACACTTGCACATGTACAGTGAGCAGAGTAAGCAAAAACAAAACAAAAGAAGATTTATGTTACACCAACTAATGTGTATTATTCACTGAAGTGATAATAACATGAAGACAACATCACATGTCTTATAGGCACTACAAGGAACGTGGAACTACAAACTAGGAATAACTTAACACTACTTCTAAGCATTTATTGACTAAGCAAATGACTAGATAATGCAGCACATTACGCGAACACCTCCGTGATGTACAACTGCAAACCGAACACACAAGCTAAGTCTTCCTCTTACTCTTCCTCTTCCTCATCTTCCTCTTCATCTTCCTCTTCCTCTTCCTCTTCCTCTTTCTTTTTCTTCTTCTCCACCCAGTCCCCGTTACAGTTGGTCGTGAACTCTTCAGTGTTATCCCCCAAACGCTGCATCCATAAATTAAATAAATTAAATAAATTAAATAAATTATTTATTAATCAATGGATCGATATTATAGCATGCTAAACTTGCCATTAACTTCTAATTGAAGAAATTACTTACTGCCTTCCACACGTTTTCAGATCCCATGAACAAGTCATATTTCAGATTGAAGTCTCCAACCACTTTGATAGTTGTGCATACGTCAATCATCATGTTATTCTCTTCGTCCTCCTCAGAATGCTTCACATAATCCTTCACAAAATCCTCATCCGAGACAACCAGAACCTCCTTGATCTTAATCAACTTTCCACATGAGCACTATCATATTTATATATACGATTAATAATTAATTGTAGAGGATGACACTAATAAATAATAATAAAAACAAGGCAATAACTTCATGTTTGTTACCTTTTCTGATTTTCGAAGTTTATACTCCTCATCATCCCATCTAATTGGGAGTTTCATGCTGCGGTCACAGTTTTCACAAACAAAGTTAAGTTCAAATTCTAAAGGTCATGGATATCCCATTAATTCTGAACGAGCTCCATGTTGTGCAACAATGTTATTAGTCATCTTAGTAACCATTTGAGAATATGTGTGTGGGTGTTTGCAAGTGTGTGACCGTGCCTAAGGTGAGGCATACGTGTGTGTGTATATATATATATATATATATATATATATATATATATATATATATATATATATATGAAATTCTCTAATATTAAATATTTTATCATGTTTAAATGTTATTGTATCCAAGAACGGATTTATGGTGGTTGAGATTCTTTATTATGTGTATATATATAACAAATATATCTATCATAGGTGTTATGGTATTGATATTGAAATAATTCTATACATAGCAAACACAAACACTTCATTCACATAAACCAATATATTTTATTTATTTAAATATAAGGACAAACTTGAATACATATTAAACATTAATATATTATACAGACAAACTTAAATATATATTAAGCATTAGCTTATTTTATAAAAAAATAAACAAATCGTGATGGTTCTTTTCTTCTTCAAAACATTCTAAAAAATCTTCGATACATCTAATAAACATATCAAGTTCTTCCCTTTTGATATGTACTGATCTTCACAACCGATTAACAAAAAGAGACAGTTACAACATTGCAATATATATGATGTTTGTATTCCACTAACTCGAGTTGAGCCTTCGATTGGAATACCCGATTTTTGCTATAGTAACGAATATCTAGTTGTTTGTCAAAAACAAATCTATATACAGTCCAAACATACTCAACTAAATATGCATACAAAGATATATGATATACTCATGTAGACTACAATACATAAACACACACCAAAGATATTTACCTCAAAAAATATAAAAGTTATATCATTGAGAAACATATTTAAAAACACAATCTAACCTATTTATTTTGCATAAACCCAAACACGTGCCAAACATCAACAACATCTGAAACTGAAAAATAAATTTTCAAAAATTTAGGAAGGACTGTACGGATTTGATCAATTTTGACAAACTCTCTTAAAGGTAGAAAACCATCTTCATTGAGAAGAATGCAATATTGTACAATGATTTTGTTGTAGAAGAAATAATAATTTCATAGTTAAAGATTAAATAAGGAAGGGAGGTGTGTTAAGGTTTACAAATTTGAATTTAACATAAATCGTAAATATTAAGCCATATTTATAAATTTTTTTTAACTATGTGAAAGACCCTCGCTTTCATAATTGAAACATTATTACTCCAAAACATGCTACATGTATATTCATAAATAATATCTTACATTGATAGTGTGATTACAATAGACTGGATACAAACCGACTAAGTTTTAGTATATTACATAACTACCAAGGATATTAAACTTTTATACAAACGTAAACCCAAGCACAAAAGTAATAGTATAAACTATTCTAAATCTTCCAACAATATAAGACTATACTGGATTCTCATTACATGCAATTGTTAAACACTGAGAGGGGTAAGCGGTGACACTTAGTGAGTTCAATAATAGATACAATATAACGTTATGCCATATATATACTTCAATATGACAGAAACAAAGAGGAACAAGGAACAACAAAGGCATATGTGAATCATGTGACAAACTTTCCATATCAATCGATGATTTGATTCAAATATATACAATCAACGAGACAAAAGAATTACAATACTTGATATACATCAATAACACTTCAGCCCAAATGACACAGAAGACATACAATTTCGGATTATCATTTTGCTAGAATATACAGGCTTTCAGCCCTACATAGCCCTATGCCAATACCAGAAGTTATACGAGTCATGCTCTACATGGCCAAAGGCACAAAGCCAATACTAGAAGTGATACGAGACATGCTCTACATGGCCAAAGGCATAAATCCGATACCAGAATAATACGAGACATGCTCTACATGGCCAGAGGCTCAAAGCCAATACTAGAAGTGATACGAGACATGCTCTACATGATCAACAATATAAAACCAGAATAACTCAGGAGAGCACATAGCACATATAACACATAACATACAATTGTTCTTATATATTGAACTCACCGTGAAATAATCGAAGGAATAAATGATAATTTGGGTAGCACTTTGGCTCTAAATATGACTTTCTGTGACGAAACTGGGGATTTTAGTTGAAAACCGGGCCTTACATGGGCAGAGTTTCGACTTTAAAATATAATTTTCTTGGGAATTTCGGAGCTTCGAGACTTGCTTCGTGTGTCGGGAATGATACCGGAGCTTCGGAGGGTAAAAAGTGGGTTAAATAAGTGTTTTAGAGTGAGAGAGAGCAAAATTAGTACGTTGGGCATACATTGATACGTGGCTTCAAACGTGTCGATCTTGCGTGACACGTGTCGAACGTGAAGAATAGGCGACGTGGCCAGGATCACACACATGAGTACGCTGGGCGTACTCCGAATTTCCAAACTTCTAAAATCCATATATTTCGCATAAGAGCTTTGTTTTTGACGTTCTTTATATCCACGCGTAGGTGAGATGATACTCTACAACTTTTGTTTAGACTCCGTCGACTAATTTTGACTTCATTTTTAAAGCTATATTTTTAACAGGCCGGGACAGGAAAAGTCCGTTAGAAATTCATAACTTTTTCATCTGACGTTCGTTTTCTTCTGTCTTTTTACCGTTGAACTAAAATCGATGAGATCTTCAATTCTCGTTTAGGTTGTGTCGACTATAAATCACTCGATCTTTATTTCGAGTTTTTAGCTGTCTACTGCTATACCAAATCTTATAAAAATCATAACTTCCTCATACGAAGTCAGATTTAGACGTTCTTTTTATGAAAATTTTCGGTTTAATGAATACGACGACTTTTATTTAGATCACTAAAGCTAAAACGTAGTTTATCAAAAACTCACTTTTTACATCATACGGCGTCGTGCCAATTCTGTCACGAAACTTCAATAAGTCATAACTTCTTCGTTATAACTTGGATTTCGATGATGTTTTCGCCTAAATGTTTCTAACGAGATTATCTACAACTTTCAATAATATAACTTTACTTATTTCCAATTTTATATTTTCGTTAAATTTTAATATTTACCTTTTGATTGGAATCTCATAAGACTTCCAATACATTCTGAATGATTCTAAACATAATTTTACTTCAATTTCTAGTAAAAACTATATGTTAGAACTCAATACTTAAAACCATATAATATTTCATTATATTATTCACTTTTAAAATTACATAACACGATAACTGAACGTGTATGTTACAAATACATCCTCCTTTTGAGAATTTCGTCCCCGGAATTACAACGATTTAAACAAATGGGGATATTTAGTTCTTATCTCATTCTTGTTTTCCCAATTATAAATTGGGCCTCAGTGGTGTTTCCACTTGACGAGCACCAATTCCAAGACATATGCACAAAGCATATCTTCTACTATTTTGGGTTGTTCTCTCCGTCTGACCATCTGTTTGGGGATGATAAGCTGTGCTAAGAGTAACTCGAGATCTTAATTCACGTTACATACTCGCCCAAAAGTGAGAAGTGAAGCGAGTATCACGATCGAAAATAATCTTCCGTGGTACTCATCATTTACAGTTTTCTTCTTCTCTTTTGAGATATCAACTGTATAGGCCAGATAGATAGAACACCCTTCGATATAAGTTTACAAGTTTTTAGGAAAGAGATTATTTTTAAGATTTTAAGTTTTTGTTTACCGTAGGCATAAATAAGATCCTTCCCTTCGATAGGGATGCATACCATATTTTCGTAACACCAGAGTTCTGCGTGGTTCTTTAACAACCAATTCTTGCCAAGAATAATATCAAAGTTGGGCAAGAAGATAGGAATCAGGTTAGCAAGAAAACTATAACCTTCAGTTTCTATGACAAAATTTCTATGGACTTTACCAGCAAGTAATGATACACTTCCTATGGTATCTACGTGAAATGGTTGCACGAGTGCATAACAAGCAATTTGAAAAGAATGCGCAAATTCATGAGACACAAAAGAATTTGAGGCACCAAAATCAAATAAGATGTGAGCAGGTTTAAAATTGACAAGAACTGTACCCGTCACAACATTCGGGTCCTCGCGTGCCTCCTCTGCGGTAATCTGGAATGCACGACTCTTAGCTTTTGGTACCTCCTCCTTTTTAGTTGATGTATCTAACAGTTGTTAAACATAAGCTTGATTTCCCACCATTTGACTAGTAAGAGTAGGACAAAAACGCTTCCTGTGGCCGATAACACCACAAGCAAAGCATGTAACACTCTTCATTGGACAAACGGGCTTTATGTGACCCATTTCTCCACATCCATAACAGATCACCGCTTTTTCTGTTCTGCATTGGCCCTGGTGATTCTTTCCACATTTTATACACGATGGCGACTGAAGAGAAAAAGATTGTGATCTATCGCGTCCACGAAAAGCACTCTGAGACTGCAATTGTTGGCTAGGTTCAGACTGAACGGATTGAGCTGATGGAATAGAGGGAACAGGAACTGTTCGATCAGTACATGTGTGCTTTGGAATAGAAAGAGTGGCACCACGTATCTCTAAGTCATGCTCGCGTCTTCGGGCATACTCAACAGCTTTATCAAATGATAGAACATCCCGATTGGCTACGAAATCGTGGATTTCATATCCTAATCCCTCCATGAATAACTGAATTTTCTCGTCTTCAGTTGGAATATACTTTGCAGCAAACCATGCTTTTTGATTGAATTGAGTTTCATACTCATTCACAGTCATTCCTTCTTGCTTAAGCTTAAGAAATTCTTTCTCCAATCTTCTCCTCATGTCTAGAGGAGAATACTTTCCTAGCAAATGAGTTTTGAACGTCTCCCAAGATAAATTCTCATGGTCATACTCGTTAAGAGCTTAAAATGTTGCTTCCCACCAGACCAAGGCTTCTCCGATGAGCATACAGAAGCATAATTAGCCTTGTCTTCATTATCCACATGAGAAATACGAAATACTTTCTCTGTGTTCTGGATCCAGGTAAGAACAAAAATGGGATTAAGGACACCAGAAAACTCTGTAGCACGAATACTTTTGAAAGTTTTGAATGAGGGATGTCTCGCCTTCTCTCCCGAAGATTCTCCAGTGGCTTTCTCTTTACCCTTATTATTATCCTTCTTAAGTTCCTCGA